GAAAGAAAATTGAATAATAATTGATTCTTGTTCAGGCAAAATAACACGAAATGTGACTCATGCAAAATTGCCTATTTCTCGGCAACTGCTGATATTACAAACTAATTTTGACATACATTTTCTTTGTATGGGTTATTGCTATGAGGTTATGAAAGTAACGATGAAATATTTTGAAATTTGAAGACGGTGGATGGATTGTAAATAGCTTATTTTTACACCTTTTTTCGCCTTCTAATCTAAATGGCCCGAAAACGAAATCGAAATTAAAAAAACTGAGCCCGATGTTTTTTGCGCCTTTACAGGGCGCACCCTTTCAGTTAAATCAGATTTGAAAAAAATGATATTTGCTTTCAAAAAGTTGTACCGAACTGTCAAAATCTGTCAAAATTGTAGTTTTTGCTGATAGTACGTCAGTTCCGGTGCCGACAGGAATCTTTACCGGTAACAAAAAAATGACATTTTTGACCACGCAGCATATGAACTTTCTTTTGTACAAATCGAATAATAAATAATTAATCTAGGACTGAAAAACTGAATTAGTCAATGGCGGCCAAGGAAAATTTCGGACACAAAAAATCTTGACATTTTTAGTCAAACCTGATAACTCTTCAACCCCGGGTAAGATGTCATATAAAAATATTCATAAATAAAAAAGTTTTTTGTAAAATTTTAAATTTTCGAAATTTGGCGCTTAATATCTACGAAGATTCGTCGACAATCTAAAATCAAAAGTAGCACAGCTATGTGCCTGGTCTCCGGCTATGTCAAAATGCATCATATGTTAAAATTCGATGAAAAACCGAAGACATCGAATCAATCCGACAAGTAGTTTCTGAGATACAATCAAATTGGAAAAAAAATAACAACTAGACCTGCATGGCAGTACTGAATCGGCTTTCAGGTAACAGACCCGAAGAAAGCATACGAAAGTCCATTCACTGAGCTATCGAACGATACTTTAGCTCTTTTGATCTGGTAATATCCAACGGAGAAATCGCGTTTTTGTCATAAATCTTTATTTTTACGCATTTTTTCAAAATATCGGATATCGTATCAACTACTTCCGGTTTACGTATCAATTTTGGGATAGTTTTAAAACGTGGCGTTGGCCTTTAACTTCCTGTACCAGAAGATTCAGAAACATCCATTGAGCAATTTTGAATAAAAAGAAAAATAGAAGAGCATTTTCAGTAATTTAACGATTTTTCAATTTTTTTTCAAAGTTTCAGGCTCTTTTTGGACCATTTATGCCATTTTCTACCTAAGCAGCTGTGGGGGTGCCAGTCACATATGTTAAGGAGGGGTGGGGTTAGAGTGACCAAATGGTTAACGTATTCGATCATGAGGTCTATCATTGAATCGATTGGTGTGGATGTGTCATAGATTATACATGACAAGGACTAGTGCCTGTCCAATCTCCTGGGTTTCCTCCCACTGCGAAAGTTTCTGTCACGAAGTCAAAGTGCTGTGGAATCCAGAACCCTGCTGTACGTGACCAGGGCATAGGGTCATCTGGTTTCCCCCCACTGGTAAAAACCCAAAGCACAAGCATATTATTGAAATGAAGTTATGCCCAAAATGACCTATTTTGTGTCGATAGATGTTAAACCACATTTCTTCATCAGCCAAGTCGGTATAAGAAATAGATTTTCTCGATTAGCTATTATACACGTGAAATAACAATGGTCTATCATTGCATCAAGTCGCGTAGTCTCCGACCGGGGAGTAACATAGGCCAGCAATCATAATTGCTAGTCGGAGTCCAATTTGTTAGGAGTGGTTACCTCCCTTATACCGTTACCAGCGTTATCATTAATATCAATCATATAGCGTTTTTTCGACTTTTTTTCAAAGATTGGGGCCCTTTTTGGACCGTTTATGCTATATTGACCCTTTTAGATTTGCATTCACACCCTAAACCACCGTTAGGACCCTAAGTAACCGAAGTTTAAGTCCATTATTCGGGCTATCCAATGAGACTTTATTTGTTTAGATTCGGTGAAATTCAAAGGTGAAATCACGTTTTTGGCAAAAAAATCTTCATTTTTTTGCATTTTTTTTTCAAAATATCGGATATTTTTTCGACTACTTCCGGTTTTTGGATCATTGTCGGGATAGCTTTAACAAGTTGTATGGATACTTAACTTCCTGTGCCAGAATTGTTAGAAACATCCATTTAGTAGTTTTCGAGAAAAAGATAAATAAAAGAGCATTTTCAATAATTTCACTATTTTTCAACTTTTTTCAAAGATTGCGGCCATTTTTGGACCACCTATATTATTTCAATGCTTTTATTTTTGGATTCACACCCTAAACCACCGATGGGACTCTGATTAAGAAAAGTTTAAGAAAAATCGTTGGCGTTGTTTTCGAGAAAAAGGCGTCTCAGAATGCACCTAAACGGAAAATACTAGATTTTCCGCGTACCATAATTTATTTCCTAACCATCGAATTCGTATCATTTAGATTTCATAAGATAGTCTATTCATGGGACTATCCGACGACACTTTAATTGTTTTGGTCCGCTAATATCTGACGGAGAATTCGAGTTTTTAACAAGAGCGCCATTTTTTTTTTCATTTTTTTACCTTTTTTTTTCGTTTTTTTAAACTACTTCAGGTATACGAATCATTGTCGGGTAGTTTTAACATCCGGTTTTGGAACTTGAATGGGCACAGGGCTTTATTTAACATCCGGTTTTGGAACTTGAATGGGCACAGGGCTTTATAATGATATACTAAATTAACCGATCAGATAAAATCCCCCTGAGAAATCCTTTGTTCAAAAGTGCCAAAAATGTCAAAATATCGAAAATTAAGTTTCAATAACTGACTACATATTATACATGGTTAGAATCGCTATTAGGTCAGGTTTTTCAATTTTTAACTTTTTTTTGAAAATCTGTTAAAATAAACAAATAATAGAGAATTTTCCAAAATTTCACGATTTTTCGACTTTTTTCAATTTTCTGTCCATTTTTTATCCTATTCCAGATGTCTCAAATTCTTATTGGATGATTTCATGCACAAGACTACCGAAAGGACTCTCGATAGAGAAAGTTTAAGAAAAATCCTTTGAGCAGTTTTCGAGATAAAGGCGTCCAAAAACGCTCCAAATCAGAAAATACTTGATTTTCAGCGTGCCATAGTTTGTTGCCTGGTCATAGTATCCTTACAAATTTGGTATCATACGACAGTCCAATCATCATGCTACCCAACGATACATGATATTGGACGGAGAAATCCCGTTTTTCCCAAAAGCACCCATTTTTTGCCCTTTTTTTTTCAAAATATCGAGCATTATTTCGACTACTTCCGGTTTACGGGTCGTTGTTGAAATTGCTTTATCCAACGGTCTGACAATATGGCTTTACGATCCTGGAGATTCAGAAAGATCGATTGATGCTTTCAAAAAAATATTAGGGTTGGAAAATGGGCAGAAAATTCGAAAAAAAATCGAAAAATAAAGGGCGATAACTCGGAATGAAACTTATATTACTGGAATCGGAAGGACTTCAGGTATCCAAAAATGTAGGTCAAATTTGAAAATTTTGAAAAATAACAAAAATTGTCTCGAAAACAACGTGTTTTCAATTTTCGAACGATAAAAGTCATAGACGAATGTTCGAAATTGAAAAATGTGAGATAGCCATTATCTCGGAAAAGATTCAGGGTTTTCCGAAAATGTCATTTGTTTAAAAATAGGTAAAGAATTGACGAAACAACGGCCGATTTTCAATTCCGGAAAAAAGTCCAAAGTTCGGTCACTTCCGGTATGCGCAGAAGTTTGAAAAATAGTTTATCCAGTAGCCACCACATGGTTTCCCGATAGAAAACTTGGTTCCAGATCAATATCTGTTTCCGATCATGGAGAAATAGGCTCTCGCGGAAAAAAATAATAATAATTTTAGTAAAAACAATAGTCTTTCAGACTAATAATAAGAATAATTTTAACAAAAACAATAGTGTTTCACACAAGCTACGCAGTGTGAAACCCTAATAATCTTAACAAAAACAATAGTGTTTCACACAAGCTACGCAGTGTGAAACCCTAATAATCATAACAAAAACAATAGTGTTTCACACAAGCTACGCAGTGTGAAACCCTATTAATAATAATAATAATTGTAGTTTTAACAATCGTCTTTCAGACAAAAATCTGAAAGCCTAATAATTTTAACAAAAACAATAATGTTTCACACAAGCTACGCAGTGTGAAACCCTAATTATTAAATCTTAACAAAAACAATAGTGTTTCACACAAGCTACGCAGTGTGAAACCCTAATAATCCGAACAAAAACAATGGTGTTTGACACAAGCTACGCAGTGTGAAACCATAATAATCCGAACAAAAACAATGGTGTTTCACACAAGCTACGCAGTGTGAAACCATAATAAGAATAATCCGAACAAAAACAATAGTGTTTAACTCAAGCTACGCAGTGCGAAACCCTAATCAGTTATAAAATAAATTTAGTTGGATATACATTTCAGTTAAATTTCTTTTTTACTGAGACGTTTATGTAATATATGTAGTTGTTGTCAATTTTTTCTGTATTCTAACTTTCTAAGTCTGAAACCCTAATAATCAGAACAAAAAAAAATAGTGTGAAACCCTAATAATCTTGACAAAAACAATAGTGTTTCACACAAGCTACGCAGTGTGAAACCCTAATAAGAATAATCCGAACAAAAACAATAGTGTTTCACACAAGCTACACAGTGTGAAACCCTAATAAGTTATAAAATAAATTTAGTTGGATATACATTTCAGTAAAATTTCTTTTTTACTGAGACGTTTATGTAATATATGTAGTTGTTGTCAATTTTTTCTGTATTCTAACTTTCTAAGGCCCCCCGAATTCCCGAAACCTTGGGTGGACCTGTCGCAGGTGTGCCATGTGTAATCTGCCAGTGGTAGAGTGGTTCATACTCAATTTTTTTTAACATCAAACAGACACTATTTCGGGATTATTTTAACATTATATGATAAGACTTACCATAAAAACTTCATTTATCAAGAATGAAAGTCTGACCACATTTGATTTTTGAGGATATAACCATTTAGAAATAATTTTATAAATGCTTCAAAATCTACCCGGCCTCCATAATAAAGGAAGATAACTTTTGGTGAAAATAAGAGTTATTTCCCTTGGTAGACGTAAAACTGAAACGTACTCCCCTGAAACGAAATTCAATTATCGCAGTCGGAAAACATCGTTTATTTCTTTGCTGTGAAGTAACAGAATACACTCGATAAGACGGTTGAATTTGACATGTATGCGCAAACGCTTAGTTGTTTTAACAATACCCACGCCTTCAAATGTCTTAATATTAACTGTTTATAATGCTACAGTGGAAATTAAAATACATGTTTAACTGGATATGAAAAGATCGACGTTTGACATGAATTGTTTAAAGATTACACTAAAACATGTATTAAAAAGAACAATGCTTTCATTTATGTATACCCACAGACACCGGTCTGTTTATAATGGCATGTTAGTTCCAAAGATAAATAAATATTGTGCAGTATGATGTTTTTATGAAAAAAAAATTGTCGGATAAAGTAGGAGGGAAATATAATGGCATGTAATGCGGAGAGTGAGGGATAAAGACCTCTATAAATCTATTAATTTAACACTTTATTTTTTTGTCCCACGGATAAATTATTATTGTTCGATTTATATAGCGCTTCATTACACGTGAAGTGTTTCTAAATAACTATATAGTGCCGTATGATGTTTGTTATGAAAAAAGAAAACATTGTAGGATAAAGTATGGGGACGATATTCTATAAGTATTACAAATAAAATAACGATCGAGATTCAGGGAGATTTGAATTCGCATTTGGTATAGTGGGGAGGGGTAAATACAACATAAAAGATAATTTATATTAACAAAAAATTCAAAATTATGACCACGTTCTCTCGTGTTGTATGCTAGCATTTACACACGAATATTTATGTTATCTGTTCTATGTCGCATTCATTTATACAGGCATTCAAAGCGCTCAATAACATTTACCAAAACACATTTCATCGTGACCAAAATGTCTGTATGTTACAGCTGCATTTGCTCCCGAATGTTGTCTTTTGCAACATCATTAAATCATATACATATACTTATACAGTATAACCATATATCTGTCTGTTCAGATATTTTTTATAACAACCAATGTTATCATGTCAGCTATTATACTACAGAAATACAAGTTTCCCAAAGATGATTTAAGTTGATATTAAATTGTAATCTATTAATTGTAATCGCCTGTACACACAACCTCTTTAAATTTTGTAGTTTGGTTAGTATAAAGGGTGGTATTTTTCGCCGACTTTAAGGTTTCCGAAACATGTTTTAAAGATACACCGACGAGCTCACATGATATATTTTGAACTGTAGATTTTGATGGAGTGTAATCAGATTTTAACCCGCGACAGCCAAACTCAGTCAACTCTACTGCACTGGGAGTACGATCGTATCGATCGTGTTCAATCGATACGATCGTAATCAGGATCGACACATAGGTTCAACTCGGTCAACTGTAGGCTACTTCTCTCCTAGACTGGTAGTACGATCCTATCGATCGTGTTCAATCGATACGATCGTAATCAGGATCGACACATAGGTTCAACTCAGTCAACTCTATCCTTTCCTAGACTGGGAGTACGATTGTATCGATCGTGTTCAATCGATACGATCGTAATCAGGATCGACACATAGGTTCAACTCAGTCAACTCTACTGCTCTCCTAGACTGGGAGTACGATCGTATCGATCGTGTTCAATCGATACGATCGTACTCAGGATCGACCGATGGGTTCAACTCAGTCAACTGTACTTCTCTCCTAGACTGAGAGTACGATCGTATCGATCGTGTTCTATCGATACGATTGTACTCAGGATCGACCGATAGGTTCAACTAAGTCAACTCTACTACTCTCCTAGACTGGGAGCACGATCGTATCGATCGTGTTCAATCGATACGATCGTAATCAGGATCGACACCTAGGTTCAACTCAGTCAACTGTACTTCTCTCCTAGACTGGGAGTACGATCGTATCGATCGTGTTCAAACGATACGATCGTAATCAGGATCGACACATAGGTTCAACTCAGTCAACTCTACTGCTCTCCTAGACTGGGAGTACGATCGTATCGATCGTGTTCAATCGATACGATCGTACTCAGGATCGACCGATGGGTTCAACTCAGTCAACTGTACTTCTCTCCTAGACTGGGAGTACGATCGTATCGATCGTGTTCAATCGATACGATCGTAATCAGGATCGACCGATGGGTTCAACTCAGTCAACTCTACTGCTCTCCTAGACTGGGAGCACGATCGTATCGATCGTGTTCAATCGATACGATCGTAATCAGGATCGACACATAGGTTCAACTCAGTCAACTGTACTTCTCTCCTAGACTGGGAGTACGATCGTATCGATCGTGTTCAATCGATACGATTGTACTCAGGATCGACCGATGGGTTCAACTCAGTCAACTCTACTGGTCTCCTAGACTGGGAGCACGATCGTATCGATCGTGTTCAATCGATACGATCGTAATCAGGATCGACACATAGGTTCAACTCAGTCAACTCTACTTCTCTCCTAGACTGGGAGCACGATCGTATCGATACGACTATTGTGGAGAGTGGTTGAGTGGCCGATAGGTTATCTATCGGTAGTCAATAATGAGGTCGAGGGTTCGAGTCCTGTTCTCTGCGATGTCCGTGACAAGTTTTTTGTAGTAGCCTATCCGATCACGCAGGGGTACGTACCCACTACCCCTGCAGCGCAAGTACTCCCAGTGCATAAGCAGATCATCTGCGTCTTTCTGCGATAACATGTGAATTTTATTGGTCGAAATTGACCTGACTTACGGTGTCGACTTGTCATAAAACAACATGCATTCATTAATTCATTTTTTCCTGCCCCTTAGAGGCACAGTCACGTGACATTAAACAATTTTTCCATACATATATTATATCCCTAACCCGAACCCTAACCCTAAAAATATTTCGATTAATATAATCCTATCCCTATCCCTAACCCTAACCCTAAAAATATTTGGAAAAACCAATAAAAATAAATTGAAAAATATCAATTTTTACGTGACGATGCCTCCAAGGGGCAGGATAAAATGTTCACCGTTTGGGGGGGGGGGGAGGCGTGCTAATTTATTATAAATTTTTACTTGTATGGGAATTTTATTTACTTTGGAAATTATTTTCATCTTCGTCCCTACCCCCTGTGGACCTTTTTTTTTTAGGATAATGTGTCCATCGCCCCTCCTTAGCGTTTCGTAAAAGGCGACTATTGTGGATAGTGGCTGAGTGGCCGTCTGGCCGATAGGTTATCTATCGGTTGTCAATAATGAGGTCGAGGGTTCGAGTCCTGTTCGTGACAAGTTATCTTGTCTGTCTGTCTGTCCGTCACACTATTTGGGACACAATAACTCTCCTTCTAATTGACCTAGAATGTTCAAACTTGGTGTAGGTGTTTATTAGGTCAATGCCTTGATGGAGTTCGAAGATGAGCATTTTCTGCTTAGGGTAAGCAGAGATAAGCAATTCGATTGGTTGATGCTTTGGGACACGATAACTTTAGTTCTAATTAAGCGAGAGTGATGAAACTTAGTGTATAGTTTCATTACATCGATACCTTGACTAAGTTCGATATTGAGCATTTTCTGCTCAGGGTAAGCAGAGCGATAAGCAATTTGATTGGCCAAGACTTTGGAACACAATAACTCCCCTTCTAATTGAGCTAGAATGTTCAAACTTGGTGTAGGTGTTTATGAGGTCAATGCCTTGATAGAGTGTGAAGATGAGCATTTTCTGCTTATGGTAAGTAGAGATAAGCAATTTGATTGGTTGATGCTTTGGGACACGATAACTTTAGTTCTAATTAAGAGTGATGAAACTTGGTGTATAGTTTCATTACATCAATACCTTGACTAAGTTCGATGATGAGAATTGTCTGCTTAGGCTAAGGAACAATAAGCATTTTGATTGGTCAAGACTTTGGAACATAACAACTCTGCTTCTAATTGAGGTAGAATGTTTAAACTTGATGTAGATGTTCGTCTTGACTGAGTTCAATGATTAACATATTGAGCTAAAGCTAAGCAGAGATAAGCAATTTCCTTGGTCGATGCTTTGGGACAAGATAACTTTGATTCTATCTGATAGAGAGTGATGAAACTTAGTGTATAGTTGATAATCAGTTTGATTGCTCGATACTTATTTAATTGGGATTTCGGCGGGGGACATCAGCCTCACTGTTGGCTTGTTAAATTAATTTCACTAGTATCTGCCGATGGAGTCTCGTACACTATCCCGGATAAAAATGGGGTTTCAAGAAAATCGTCGTATGACTTCATACATTTATTGGACTTAGCCTTACTTTTACCCAGCTTCTTAGCCTTTGTCTTCAGTCTGACCAGTCTATTGTGAATGTAATTGTCACCAAACGTCACACAGTCGTCATGTAAAGCAGTTATGATAGACCAATGCTCCGTAGTTGTCGGAAATTTATTAACAATGCCTAGTATAAGCCTATTTGTGATTTTTGCCATGGGTAGTTTGGTTATAGTGCTCAAATCATAGGGGTACTTGTCCAATCCTATGCTGGATAGCAAATCATCGGTGGACGTCATCTTGCAGTGCTCAGTCTCCGATCTAGAAAAAAAAAACTAAGTCCGCCGATCAAGGATTATGGCTACAGAATAATTAAAATTGATTATGAAAATAATTTACACCAAGTTACCAAAAAGTGTCTGGAAAATAAAGACTACCAATAAAAAATTTGTTCGGTTATTTTCCGGTCTCAAATAGTTCTGCGTATTTAGAGCTAGCAAATATTTATTTCCTAAAGTAAATAGATCGCCACGTAAACGAAGGTTGTAATCACTAAATAAAAGTAAATCCCAAAATGTTGTAATGAGTTTATCTTGCCACGCTCATGGATTAAAAAGTTAGAAATGAAACGAAGCTATTACAGCTAGTTCTGTACCGAAATCGCCCAAATCGCCAAAATCAAAAATTAAATCAAAGATTGCAATAGAAATTTTTGCTCACGTTCGCTATTAAATAAACACGAAAGTCGAAGCGCGTAATGAGTGTATTTTTACTTGGCTTTATATAGGGTGACCCATGCACTTACAGAAATACAGTCAACCGCTGATAGTTCGAGACTACCACTGAAGCGTGCACATTCGCCGTGTCGAGGCCAACTTTCTGACAGTATGATACTATAAATAGCCATGGCACGTGCAATTCTCTACAAATCTATCAACTATTACAGCCGTAAAAAATTTATTGTTGACGATTTTGAATAGCAGTAAAATTAAGCTTTTTGGTTATTACAGCAGATTTAGAAATTACGTTCGTTTCATTTTTTAAATCGCTTTATCATTAACTGTACCGTTAAGAGCGGCATCTTTTGGTTTAGTACAAATACTATCTCTGAAACACTCGGGTTAGACAGGAACATGATACTAGCAGTAGTTTCATTTTACTTTTACAAGCTTCTTAAAACAATTGTTGAGCTAGCTAACGTGCTCATTTCTAAATTCAATTTCTTGTTCTAGCTTTCTGTTATGTTTCGTAAAAAAGTAGTCTTGATTATCCCGACCTGTCAATCAGCCTTAGAATGGTCGATAGACTGGTTAAGCGAGACTAATTTCAAAACAAGGGCACGTAACCTATCTTTTACTCAAACGTGTCTGGATGTTATGGACGACACATGGAACCAGTTTTCAGTCTATTATTTATAGATGATTAATGGTCATAGCTTATTAAGTACAACATGATCGTTTATTTAGTGACTATAATTGTGTGAAACTGATTTGAGGCTTGGCATACATATAAATATTGTGGCGAAATTGTCGAGATATATGGAGATATTTATTTATGGTGGGTCACCCTAATAAACTTTATATACCAATACATGTTTGTATAATACCACGTGGAATGCTATTTATGACGTATATTTGCTGCGACATCGAAATTCACGTGCGCGAGACTACATTTTGATCACGGACGGTGCAGTGCATGTTTATTTAAGGACAAATAATTGACCATTGAACCACTCTACTGCCAGTGGACTTATTGCCACTTAAAAGAACAGGCAGTGAAATGTGCCGTGTTTATTAGAGATTTACTCTTATTAGTCCGGTGGCTGAAGGGGGGGGGGGGATCGCCGACCGAGCTGTGAATTTATGAGACGAAGTTTTTCTAGACCAGTTTTTTGCGTAGATTCCGAATCTTGTTGGTGATCAGGCGTTTGAGGGGGCGTTTTCGAGATATGGGGGTCAAATGTCTACAATTGGGGGAAAATGTAATTATGTTGACATATATGGTGATGATGTTATATATAAATAAAACATAGATTTCTAGGACTGTCCATCTCTAAATAAGTGTATATGATGCCCCTGGACAACTGTTTTGATTTGTGGCAAGGTGGGGTGGGTGGTTGCAGGTTTGCTTGTGTGGAAAGGGGGGGGGGGCGGTATGTAAATTGGCGGGAAATGAATTCACGTTGATTTAAATGATGTTTTTTTTTTAGAACTTGATGAAACATCTCTACAAATATGTGTATAAGATTCCCAATGTGTGTGTGTGGGGGGGGGGGGGGAGGCGACGGGAATGGGTGCTCATGGGGGTGGGGGAGGCAACATGTATCTTTGTGGAAAGAAATCATTTGGTTCAATATTGACCTTAAAAGTGGTTTCTCGTTAGTTTTTCGTTCAGTACCTATATTTGGTCATTCTAAATAAGTGTATATGATGCCCCTGTTCAACTGTTTTGATTTGTGGCGAGGTGGGGTAAGTGATTGCAGGTGTGCGTGTGGAGGGGGGGAGGGGGTTGTTAAGTGGCGGGAAATGAGTTCACGTCGATTTAAATGATGATTTTCTTAGAGCTTGATAAAATCATTACTTTTTTTAATTCCGCTGCACATCCCTAAATATGAGTATAAATTCCCATTTAATGGGTGTGGGCAAAATGTGAACAGGCGTTTGAGGGGGGGGGGGCGAGATAAGGGGGTACAATGTCTACAATTGAGGGGAAATGTCATTATGTTGACATAAATGATGATCATGTTATGTATTAATAAAACATAAATTTCTAGGACTGTCCATCTCTAAATAAGTGTATATGATGCCCCTGGACAACTGTTTTGATTTGTGGGGGTGGGGGTGGGCGTGTGTGGAAGGGTGGGGGATAAAATTTGCGGGAAATGAGTTCACGTTGATTTAAATGATGATTTTCTTAGAGCTTGATAAAAACATTACTTTTTAATTTCGCTGCACATCTCTAAATATGTGTATCAGATTCCCATTGTATTGGGGGTTGGGGTAAAATGTATTTTTGGGGACAGAAACCACATGGTTTAAAATTGACCTGAAAAGTGACTTTTCGTTAGCTTTTTTTTCGTTCAGTACCAATTTTGTCATTCAAAATATTAAATTATAATGCAATCTGATTAAAACACAGATCCTATTTTGTTCCGTTTTTTATAGTTCAGAATTTGTCTTCATACCACTATGTTATGTTCAACTAGTCTCTTATGGTCAGCGCTCTTTTAGTTATCAAGTACCTGTTTTATGGAATAATCTACCATTTAGTTTAAGATGTTGTACATCTCTATATTCTTTTAAAAAACAACTTAAAACACATTTATTTAATCAGGCTTTTAACTGACTCTGTATACAATCGTTAACATGTCCATAATCTTGTTGTTTATGTATGATTTACATTGTCACTTTGTAAAGTGCTCCTGAACATGTTATATGAAAGGGTGCACTATAAATATGCTGTAATAATAATAATAATAATAATAATAATTAATACTAATCTGGAAGAGTTGTTATATAAGCCGCGTTCTGGTTAATGTGAGGGATTAGCCAATGAAACGGTCTGTTACGGTGAGTTCTTGTCAAAGCTGGTTGATTAATCAATGTCTGGCGTCATGGTGTCAAAAACCTCTGACGCCATCCCCACTATATAACCGGTCAGATCTTCATGTAATGTATGCCATCGAAAGTGTAAAAAAACGAAACGAAATATAGATCTGTATTTTAATCAGATTGATTATAACAGTACTTTTCAAGAGATCTGGAAAAAAAACAGTAAACAAGAGACATGTTTAGTTTATTCTTATATTCTTCATCAGAATATCTTCTTTATGGGTGATCAACAGCTCGCATTATATATCCTTCAGATACCCATACGCATAGTAAATCTTCATTCCAGCCTTGTATTGTATCGCAAGGTGATCTTGTTTGGTTATTTAATGTGCAGCAAAAGACTAGCCAGGCAAGATGGTAATAAAGAAAGAAACAATTAAAATTCCCCCAGAAAATCTTTCTAGCCAGGCAAGATGGTAATAAAGAAAGAAACAATTAAAATTCCTCCAGAAAATCTTTCTTCTAATGCCATCTACTGATGTAAGTCGCCTTTCACCGTACAAACAATTATTTCTATTCCAGTAATTACGTCATCAGAAACATCATTTGCCTGTCCCTGCTCTTTAAAAATTGTTAGAAAGTTGGAATTATCTTGTAAAAGAAAAACAGATAGTCAATTGTCATTACCACTGAAAGCATGCAGGCCTAGATATTCCTAGAAACTTATATCAAGATTAGTATTGAAAGTGTCGAGAATATCCTAGAACTGGAAACAAACCACGAGGATACCAGATTAGCTTAGCTACTCCTCTTCGCATTGCAAATTAGTGGAGGCGCTGAAACAAATTGTATTTTGTGTTCTTGCTCTGGCGAAATAGACATCCCAATCGTTCTCCTTGCAAACGATGATCCAAAAATACACATTTTGATCGGTAATGAGACGGGCAAAGATAGAAAATATTCCGGAAGGCGACTTACATCAGTAGATGAAGCTAGAAGAAAGACTTTCTGGGTGAAAAAATAACATGACTGGAATGAAGATTTACAATGTGAACTGGTATCTGAAGCATATCCAAAGGACATATGCGAGCTGTTGGTAAGCAACCAAGAAGATATTTATCTCGCTCATTTGATTTTGAATCTTCTGATGAAGACTAAGAATAAACTAATATCTAAACATGTCTCTGATTTGCTGTGTTTTTGATTTACATTTCCAGATCTCTTGAAAAGTACCATCATAATTTAATATTTTGAATGACCAAATATAGGTACTGAACGAAAAGCTAACGAGAAACCACGTTTAAGGTCAATATTGAACCAAATAATTTCTGTCCACAAAGATACATGTTGCCCCCCCCCCCCACACCCCCATGAGCACCCATCCCGTCGCCCCCCCCCCCCTACCCACACACACATTGGGAATCTTATACACATATTTGTAGAGATGTTTCATCAAGTCCTAAGAAAATCATCATTTAAATCAACGTGAATTCATTTCCCACCAATTTACACCTCCCCCCCCCCTTTCCACACATGCATACCTGCAACCACCCACCCCACCTTGCCACAAATCAAAACAGTGGTCCAGGGGCATCATATACACTTATTTAGAGATGGACAGTCCTAGAAATCTATGTTTTATTTATATATAACATCATCACCATTTATGTCAACATAATCACATTTTCCCCCAATTGCAGACATTGGACCCCCCCCCCCCCCATATCGCGAAAACGCCCCCTCAAACGCCTAATCACCACCCAGTTTCGGAATCTACGCTAAAAACTGGTCTGGAAAAACTTCGTCTCATAAATTCACAGCTCGGGTGGCGATTCCCCACCCCACCCCCTTCAGCCACCGGACTATATTTTGTTGTTATCTGTGATCTAGAATGCTATTAATTCTTTTTAATTCATTTTGACAAACTTAACCTATGCTTTTTATCATTATAGATTTTGAAGACCTGTTTGATGACAGCTTGTCATTATGAATAGATGTAGTTAGGATGGGGATGATAACGATCTGTTAAATTAATTGACTTCTGTTGATAATATTTGACTGAGGCAGTATGATTCTTGGATAAATAGTGAACCAAATAGACCATCTGTGATCTAGAATGCTATTAATTCTTTTTAATTCATTTTGACAAACTTAACCTATGCTTTTTATCATTATAGATTTTGATGACCTGTTTGATGACGACGATTTGTCATGATGATTAGATGTAGTTAGGATGGGGATGATAATGATCTGTTAAACTAATTGACTTCTGTTAATAATATTTGATTGAGGCTGTATGATTCTTGGATAAATTGTGAACCAAATAGACCATGCATTATTATAGTGAAAGAGTTTCTATTCAAGGGGCATAACTCCTCAGGGAATAAAACAACTATGGTTTTTAAACTGAAAGTAGTTCTTTCTGTTTGTTTATTGCTGCACATGTATGCCATTGTGTGTGCGAGCTGTGTTTCTTTTTTACAATTGGTTGACTCACAATACAAGTGTGCAAGTGATATTTTCATTTCATCTACAGCCCCCCCCCCCCCAAAAAAAAAAAAACAACAACCCCAAAACAAAAAAACCCCAACACATTATGTAGTAGTTATTAGCACACTTTCCGAAGTGTATCGGTGCAGATCAGGACAGTTTTGGTCAGCCGAGGCGGCCCCCGACCAAAACTGTCCTGATCTGCACCGATACACCGCGGAAAGGCGCTAATAAGTCACTCACATCACATTTCTATCGAGTATTGTGAAGAGAAATGTGAAAAATAGTATTTATTATCGAGTCGTGTCAAGCGAAATGTGACAAATACTTTCTGCTCTTTCATTTATCCCTTTCTGTGCCTCACGTTACATTTCGTGGTAGAATGATTTCGCAGTGGAAAAACGACCTGAGTAGTATTTACATCCCACTTCTACCTCGTTGCCCGTGGCAACCTTTGCTAAAACTGTCCTGTTTATTATCAATACAGGCATAAAAGTATCTGTGTATCAGAAATGAACAGTACGCTTTCCAGAAAGAGTACTGTTCATTTCCGACAAACAAACACTAATCGCCTAGAAAGTCATAAATTTTATCACAAATAAATTTCAACTGACGAAGCATCAGCCGATGCACACTTCACCAGTGTTTCGTTTCTATGTCGATGATGGGGGCTAAGAGGAGAGGAATTGTTTGGTGTTGATATGAATACCTTTATTAAGCAGCCATGTTGAATACATCACAGGAAGAGTATATATAAGGGAAGTAACTCGTGAATAGGGTTAAGACCACTATTAGGTATTAATGATAATGAGTGAATATCGTTACATCTCCCTTTTCATAAAAAGGAATGAAAGAACTAAACACAAGTTAACTGTTCACAAAGAATGGTTCAAAAGTTATTTCTGAATAATGAACTAAAGTTTATACACCATTCTTTGGTAATTGACAGAGTCACTATGTATTCTTGCCTGAAAGAGAACACATTAACAAAATAAAGCAAGTAACAAATAAAACACACAACAGATTATCAACACAAATTATTTCCCATAGTTGTTCAGATATGAAGGTTTCTTAACAGTTCGACCACTACGAGTCGTATAAGGGGTTTGAACTTTATCAGGTTTACTAATGTTCATCTTTGTGTTACATGCAGAATTTGTTTTGGTTGGGTTTTGACTAGATTGTGCTTCAGTAGGTTTTGACTTAGGTTTAGGAGAGTCCAATTTACAATTAGTATTACTATGCAATTGTTCATTGGTAACAGACGGGGTTTCATAGTTGCACATTTCCTTTCGAAAAGTTTCACAACATGTTGGTTTCATTATTTCAAATTGTTCCTTTGAAGATCGTAGATGTTTACGATTACGTCGGAAAACTTGACCACTTTCTGTTCGCAACTGGTAAGAACGAATGTCAACTTGACCTTCAATTTGTCCTTTGGTCCACGTTTTATCGCGTCCACTAGGTTTAATGCGTACCACATCCCCTTTTTCAGTTCAGGTAATTCGCGAGCTGTTTTATTATAGTAATAAGCTTGCTTAGCTTTTTTGCGACTGCACATCCTGTTGAACTTTAGGTTCAAGTAAACTAGCAGATGTGGGTAGAGTTGTCCTGGTTCTCCTACTATAAAGACGTTGAGCTGGGGAACTTCCTAATCCTTCCGTTGGTGTATTACGAAAGTCCAGTAATGCTAAATAAACATCTGATTTGTCATCTATGGCTTTCTGCATAATACGTTTAGCTGTTTTTACTGCATTTTCAGTTCGTCCATTTGATTGGGCAAAGGTTGGAGAGCTAGTCACGTGTTCAAAGTCATATTCATGTGCAAATTGTTTGAATTCGTTACTATTGTAGGGAGGACCGTTGTCGGACATTAGTTCCTTCGGTATTCCATGTCTTGCGAAGTGCGCTTTCAGTTTTGGAATGACGGTTTTCGCAGTTTTGTCGGCTAAGTAGTCTATCTCGAAATAGTTGGAGAAATAATCTACTGTTATGCGATACGATTTCTGATTTAATTCAAACAAGTCTGTTCCAACTGTTTGACAAGGGAGTTCTGGAATTTCATGACTTATTAAAGGTTCTTTGCACTGCTCAGTCTGGTGTGCTTTACAAATAGCACATTTACTAACAGCTTCTTCGATATCTCTATTCATATTCGGCCAGTACACACTTTCACGGGCTTTCCTCATAGAGGCCTGAATACCGAGATGACTAGGGTGTATTTTGGAGAGCAAATATTCACGTTGAGTGGTGGGTATCACAACCCGTTCACCGTTAAATATTAACCCATTGTGGTATAATAGTTTGTTATAGCAGGTAATACGTCTGATCTTTTATCAGGCCATCCGTTAATGATGAAAGATTTTAGTGAGTAAAGATCTTGATCTAACGTAGTAGCTTCTTGGATTTTCCTAAAAGTCTCATCAGAAACCGACAGGTTGTAGAGCGCGTTAACAGATTCAAATTCAATTTCACTTTTTGATCGAGTGTCAATTAAGTGCACAGTTTCAAAATTGGTCTTCTTCACTGTGTGAGGTCGATAAGCTCTGCTTAAAGTATCGGCGATATAAAGTTCAGCACCTTTCATGTAGGATATAGAATAGTCGAAACTTTGAAGGCGAAGCAGCATACGCTGTAAACGTTTGGGTGCTGCCTGTAGAGGTTTTTTGTAGATAACCTCAAGAGGTTTATGATCTGATTCAACAAGCACATGTCTTCCATAAAGATAGTTCTCAAACCATTCCATCCCGAAAACCACTGCAAGTAACTCCTTTTCAATCTGGGCGTAGTTTGTTTCTGTGGGAGAGAGTGGTCGTGAAGCGTAGGCTACAGGGTGTCCTTCTTGGAGAATACATGCACCAAGACCATATTCTGACGCATCACATTGTAATACGGTTTGTTTCAACGTGTCAAAGTAGTGAAGCACAGGAGTTTCAGATAGAGCGGTCTTTACTTCTTCAAAAAATTTTCCATGGACCTGAGGATCTCAATAGAATTCAGTTGTGTCTTTAATTAAATCACGAATTGGAGCTGTGATTTCTGAGAGACGTGGAGCAAACTTTTGAAGATAGTTCACCATACCGAGGAGACGTTGAACAGCTGCTTTATCAGTTGGAGTGGGCATGCTGGTTATAGCTGTAACCTTTTGAGGGTCAACTTTAAGGCCATTTGAAGAGATGACATGTCCCATATATGTAACTTCACGTAGATGAAATCTAAGCTTGTCTTTGTTGAGCTTGATTTGTTGGTTTCTACAGCGTTCTTAGAGTGAGATTATTTTCTGATAATGATCTCGTATCGCTTCCTCATCAGTGTTGCCTGTACCATATACTAGTATGTCGTCATGTTAGCTTTTACATCAGAGAGTCCTTCCAAGGCTTGATCTAGGCGACGTTGGAATTCCTCAGGTGCAGGTGATATGCCAAAAGGCATACGTTTCCAGCGATAGCGTCCCCAAGGGGTAGCAAAAGTAGTTAGATAACTGCTTTCTTCTGTTAATTCACAATGCCAAAATCCATCTTTGGTATAACATACAGAGAATATGCGAGCATTTGCAAGTTCAGGAAGTAAATCATCTATGATAGGTGTAGGATAGCGATTCCTTTTAAGAGCTCTGTTGAGCGGTTTAGGATCAATACAGAGACAAATTTTCCCAGTTGATCCTTTGGAGACAGGAACTAATGACGAAATCCAGTCATGAGGGACTGTTACAGGAGTGATGACATCTAGTTCAGTAAGACGTTTTAGTTCTTCTTGGACTTTTGGTTTCACTGCTAAGGCGATTTTCCTAGTAGGAAGTTGAACACCTGGTACAGTTTTGTCTATCTGCAGTTGAAGTTTACTTTGAAACTTGCCTAACCCAGTAAACACATCTTCGTAGTCGGTGGTTACTTTCTCCTGAGTTAGAGGTTGAGTCGTACCTGTGAGGAAATTGTTAGTTTCACTCACTGATGGTAGAATACAGTTAGTGTTGACTGTAATAAGACCCATTTCTTGGACAGCGAGACATCCAAGGATTGGTTGAAGAGTTGCGTCTACCACTATAAAGTAGAGAGTATAGACTTCTTTATTGGCAGGATTTACAACAGTGCAGGAACATTTTCCAAGAGGCTTTAGAGTAGATTTGTTGTACATAACTAGAGTTGTGAGTGTTGTCTCAAGTATGTTGGAGTTGTCACCAAAGATTTCAGTAAAATTAACTTTGGGTAGAATGTTGACTGTAGAGCCACAGTCAAGTAGAAACTGGATGCTGGTTTTCTTGATAACCATTACGGCAGTTAGTTTCTTGGTGTGATGTATAGAGTTGATAGTACCTATGCATAATACTCCTTCATCCTCATCGCTAGGATCACCATCAATAGCGTAGAGTCGTGCTTTAGGTTTCCTAATCTTGGAAGAATTCTTATGATTAGATGCTGATGGGCATTTCACACGGTAGTGATTAAAACCACCACACTGACTACATTTCTTGCCCCAGGCTGGACAAAGTTCTTTCTGTAAAACATGTTTGTGAATACAGAATTTGCATTCCTGCGGTGTTGGAACCTTGTGTTTTGATGCTTGAAGATGCCTAGCTTCAACAGGTTTCTGAGATGCAGAGTTGAACTTTTTGGGTTTGTTGCAAATATAGCAGATTTCCTTTTGAGTCATCGACTTGAGCTGTAAAGCTGTAGTTTCGCTTGCTCTACATATATCAATAGCAGACTGAAGGGTTAGTCGTGGATCTTGCAAGAGTTTTTTTCTTGTAGTATTGCTCAGAATCCCAACAACAATTTGGTCTCGAATAAGACTATCTTGGAGATTGTTATAGTTGCAGGATTTGGCTAATGTTCGATGAACGGCTACAAATGCATCAATTGTCTCATTTGCTTGTTGGAAGCGTTTATTAAATGTGTAACGCTCATATGTTTCGTTGGTTTGTC